AGAGAGACAGAGACACAGAGAGACAGAGAGACAGAGAGACCGAGAGACAGAGAGACAGAGAGACAGATAGACATATAGACAGAGACACAGAGACAAGGGAAACAGAGAGACAGAGAAAGATAAAGAATAAAAAAGACAAAGCGAGAGAGGGAGAGAGAGAGAGAGAGAAAGAGAGAAGAAGAGAAAGAGAGAAAGAAAGAAAGAAAGAATGAAAGAGCAGAGAAACAGAGAAGCAGACAGACACAGAGTCAGAGAGACACAGAGACAGGGAGGGACAAAGAGAGACAGAAAGACAGAGAAAAAAGAAACTGAGAAACAAAGAAACAGAGAGACAGAGAGGCAGAGAAACAGAGACACAGAGAGACAGAGAGGCAGGGAGAAACAGAGAGACAGAGAAGCACAGACTACGGAAAAGGAGAGAGAGCGAGAGAGTGCGAGAAATAAATGCGGCTCAGGAGCAAGCACGCCGGTGGCGGCGGCTCAAGAGCACGCACGCCGGAGGCGGCGGCTCAGGAGCACGCACACCGAAGGCGGCGTCTCAAAAGCGCGCACGCCAGAGGCGGCGGCTCAAGAGCACGCACGCCAGAGGCGGCGGCTCAAGAGCACGCACACCAGAGGCGGCGGCTCAAGAGCACGCACGCCGGAGGCGGCGGCTCAAGCGCACGCACGCCAAAGGCGGCGGCGCAAGAGCACGCACGCCGAGGCGGCAGCTCAAGAGCACGCACGCCGAAGGCGTCTTGGTTAAAGGACTCGAGGTCAGACGCTTAAACCCATCCGATGCCCTCGGTCAAGGTACTCTGAGGATGCACGCAATTGACAACACAATCAACCAAGCACACACGGTAGCCCAGAGCAAACTCCAGCAGGAAACCATCAGATGACAAACCCTTAACCCCAAAGAACTCTCAAGCTTACCTATAGTATCCGTTGTAGTTCCTTTTGGGGCTTACCATATAAGATCCTATTCGTATAACGGATTACAACCAACGAAAGGAGCTACAATGGAGACTATAGGTAGACCTTGCTCTTAACCCTTCAAACCGCAGGAGAATGAACGGCCAAGCGGCTTCTACCTGAAGACGAGGCCGCTGCCTCGCGAGTGCGCCGGTGTTTTCATTTTTTCTCTCGGGTTCGAAGGTTGGGAATTTAGGGCTTGCATGTTTATGACTGCCTGTGGCCTCTGGTTAGCTGGCGGTGGTAAGCGTTTTGAATTGGTTTGGGAGGGTATGGGGGGGCACCCCAAGCCCCACACCCCACACCCTGACTTTCAGGGAGCTTGGATCTTCGCATGGTAGGGTCTGAGCAACTCTTGATGTGCTAAGCAATCCTCGAATTTTGGGTCTGCAGTTGAGGGTACGATATTCAAGAGAACGGGCTCTTTGCTGAGAGCTTTACATTCGGACTGCTAAACTTGTGTATTATGAATCTTGGGTTGGGGGTTGGGGGATAAGAGTGAATAAGGGCATGGGGTCGAGGGCCTCTTGCTGCGCGTCCCTGTTCAAGGCTTGAATTTCGAGCAACCTCAATGGAAAAAACATCTGCAAGAGGAGCTTACTTGCTTGATCTGCCGGCACGATCAACGCTGGCCAAGGATTTCCTGGAACTTCAAAAACCAACTATGGAAGTCAGGTATAAGACCTATTTCGCGGGCTAAGGCCCGCAAACATTTAATTCAATCTAGTTGAAAGGGCTCTTCGGAGCCTGCATGAGCCTGCACCCGCCCTTCTCTACGAATACTGGCGCTCTATGACTACATATAACCCTAAACCCAAAGCCACTTCTACACCCTAAGACCAAAACAAGGCTAAGGGAGCCTGACGCTCAACACTTCGACATATACCTCCTGTGAATCCAACTCCCGGCTTGATAACTACAGCCGCAAACCCTAAACCCTAAACTGAACCCTAAACCCTCAACCCAAAACCGTCCTAAACCCTAAACCCTCATAGGCCCTAAACCCTAAACACAACACAAAACTGCGTGCCCCTACCTAGCCCTGATGGCCGGATATAACCTCTACCTTAAGAACCCAAAACCCACTTTTTTGTAGGGTCTTATTATAGACCCTAATATGGGATTTATAGGGACCCTACAAAAAAGTAGGTTTTGGGTTCTTAAGGTATAGACCCAAACCTTACAAATCAGTCGACTTTCATTGGATCGATCGGTTTGGAGCTGCAGGCGAACTGCAAACGTAAAATCGTAATATCCCAGAGACTCCAATATCCCCTAATCAAGGAATGTACCTTAAATTATAGTAGGATTCCTAATATGATTTAAGGTATATTCCTTAATTAAGGGATGTTGGAGTCTCTGGATATTAATAAACGCACAGAAAGCCATCGAAAGCCCCAGCCAAGCCTGTAAAAGCCCTTGCGCATAAAACCTAAACCACCTCGCATGGGAGTTCAAACGTAGGGAGACAGGGAGGGCCGGTCTAGTGAGGCACGGAGGGTTCTAAAGCTCTAGAATTAGGCTCAGGAGTTTGGGGTGAAGTTCAAGGATTTCAAGGGGTAGGACTTTGCATCTAGGGTCCAAGGATGTTGTCTTTCTGGCTCGAGCCGGGAAGGTCCAAGAACAAGGCAAAAACGATTGAACCGCAAAATGGAACCAATGACAACTCTCCGCTGTCCCACATCCTCTCCAGAATGCTCGAAGCAATCTACGTCGTTACGTCTACGCCCGGCCTCTGACATTGGTGTACACTTGGTCGCGAATGACCGCTGTCTACTGACAGAGAGCCATCTCACGGCGAAGACGGGCATTAGGCATGTGTGCGGTTACACCCCGGGCCCTCGGAGCTAATGCAGCCTAGGGTTTGCGGTTTAGGGTTTAGGGGTTTAGGTTAGGGTTTAGGGTTAAGTCGTGTCAGCTCCCCAGTGCCCAGCATCATCGTCGAAGTCCTGCATCCTTCCTCTCCTCTCACCTCCCTCGCCTGTCCTCCTCCTCATCGTCACTGCGATCATCACCATCCCACCACCCTCTTCGGCAGCAGCATCATGTTCACTGGATTATCACCATCACCATTACCATCATCGTCAGCAGCAACAACAACATCATCCTGCTTTCGTCGCCGGGAAGGCCCGAGACAGGTTTCGCTTGAACTCAGCTTCTACCAGCCAAAAAGAACGCAAGAAAGAAACGAATCACGAGGCTCTCCAATGGCTGCCAAACCAAGTAGCTTCACTGTGCCCACATGGGCAGGAGGGGCTTGCTCAGATTTCATGCTTTTTGCAGGCTCGCTTTTGCGGCAACAATGCTGTGTGGGTGAAACATCTGCGTGCCGAGAGGTGTTTTAGGGCCAAACTCCTGTTTAGAACCGGGCTTTGCGGGTGTTGGCAGCACTTCTATTAACTTTCCAGGAGTTCCTGCTTTAGGCTGTAGTGTCACGGGGTTAGCGGTTTCGCAATGGGACACCTCGAAGGTTCGCCAAATAGGCTTAGATCTTAAACGAACTATCTGTCTCGCGTTCGGAGGTTGATAGGACTTCGTGTTTCTATCAATCACTACTTACTGGAGCCAGTTTAATGCTCTTCAGCTGGCATATTTACAGCAGATCCAGACCCAATTGTCACTACGTGGTGGCTTGCATATCTGCCCCAAAAGGCGAACTTGAAGCCCTAAACTAGACCCTGTACAACCTGAACCAGCACAAAGGCTCACACAATGTGGACCCTACATCGTAAAAAAATGTAGGGAACTTGCTGCAGGGACCCTTCCAAGGAGGGCGACTGTTAGGGAATCGTCAATTGGATCGTCCATCGTCCTGAGTCGTCGGCTGTGGAGGAGGAGCCTAAACCCTAAACCCTAAACCCTAAACCCTTTAAGCTTTGTGGTCGGAGACTTTATGGTCTCACTTAAACTTAAGCCCGGGGTATAGGGCTGTGGGCTTCGGATTTGACGTCCGGCTGGGACTTGAAGTTAAGATCTTCGAGTTGGGGCGTAGGGTTAAACCCAATAGCCCTAAAAACCCAAACCCTAAAACCCCAAAGCCCTAACACCATCAAGGATTATGGGCTCAGGGCCGTTCGAGAGGAGATTCAGAAGTTAGGAATGGCAAAACAGTATGAATAAATAAATAAGTGAATGTATATGTATACATAAACTAATTATGTCGTGTCGAAGAAGATTACCAGCGAGCCCTAAAACCTGAAGCCACAAACCCGAACAAGATCTCTCGTCATAGATGCAAGGCCTTCAACGCCGGGCCACCTACCTCGGCCAAATGCCATGTGTCAATAATAACCCCTACACTCCCAAGCCAATCTTTCGGAGAAAACAAAATCTGGGAATCCAGAACCCAACGCCGAAGACAGGAACCCCCAAAACTAACAATACTGCGAGATTGACTGTAATAACATCAGCACCTACCAAAATTTACAATGCAACAATCCTAGACCCTATAAGCCCGAAACCTGCAAACCAACGGCATGCCCTCCACCCTAGACAGTAACGGCTGAACCTAAGGATATGAGGCTCAGGGGTTTACTTAGGGTGTAGGATGTAGTGATTTGAGCTTTTGGCTTTTGCCTTCTTTTGGCTAGGGGTTTAGGATTCAGGGTTCAGGGGTCAGGGTTCAGGATTTAATGATTTGGGATTATGGGGTTTGCATTTAGGCCGGGGTGTTTTGTGCTTTAGACTCTGCGGGGCCTTGGGTATTTAGGGTTCGAGACTACATCAGAACCTCAACACCATCCGAACTTCCGGTCCAGGGACACTGAAGACCTCAGCGCCCGTAAACCCTCAATCGTAGTCCCGGACCCCCCAAACATAAGAATAGCAAATGCGAGCAGTTGGAAGAAACACTTATCTACACGAGGTAATGCAGAACAGGTGTTATTTTAAAGACGTCAAACATGCGTACTTGTATACTTGGCCTCCAAACCATCAACCATCAGACGACCGCTTCATCGTAAACACCAATGCCTCTAAAACTCAGACCCTGAAGCATTTAAACCTTCAAACCACAGGAGGATGCATGCCCAAGAAGCTTCTACCTGAAGACGAGGCCGCTGCCTCGTCAGTGGAATTCTGCTGCTGTTTTCTCTCGGGTTGGGGATGTAGTGCGTATAGGACTTGTCAGCTTCACGTGTTAATTGATTCCTGTTGCGTCCGTTAATCAAACTTTGTTCTGGTGGTTGCAATAGTTTTGGATTTGGTTGGGTCTCGAAGGGCGTGGGCACTCTAAACTGGATCTTCGCATGGTAGAGTCTGAGCGATTCCTGTTTTGTAAGCAGTCCTTGATTTAGTGCTTTGGGCTTTGGTGTTACGACCGAGCGCTTTGCTTACGGATTTAATTTTCCTAGACTCCGTCTTGGTATTATGGGTCTTGGTTTGAGGTTTGGGGGTAAGAGTAACCCTAAACCCTAAACCCTAAACCCTAAACCCTAAACCCTAAACCCTAAACCCTAAACCTTGGGACCCAGCCCGTCCTGCTTTTTGTCCCAGTTCAGGGCGTGACTTTAGAGGAGCCCACACGAGAAAAGGGCCCCAAATCCTAGACGCTTCAACATGGCAACGAGAAGAGTCAGGGAATAGGGTTTAGGGTTTAGGGTTTAGGGTTTAGGGTTTAGGGGTTAGGGTTACCGCAAGTTTTCGTATTGCTCGGGGCTTTTCAGGACGTGCCCTGAGCGCGCATGCGCATCATGACCCGAAACACACCCACAGGCAGGGAACCAAGTTGCTAAGGGCACAGGGCCGTATTAGAAGGGACCTGTACTGCATCCTAAAGCTCGAACTCTTCCGCACCGTTTTTAGCGTGAACCTCCGGCCGATGAGCGTCTAGGTGCGCCAGGAATCATTGAGATCCGTTCTCTTGCAATCCCAAGGCCCCCGATTGGAAAAGAAGGACGGCCAACCTCCGCCCGTCTTGGTCGAAGATGCTTCAACATACTTGGCGAACAAAGAGGCTGGCAGAGGATCTGATGAAGATTTCTTGTGAACGTAGATGGGGATGAATACCTCTCCGTTGGCATTGCGCACCTTCTGAGAATACTTTCGCAGCACGTAGAGGCGACGATTCCCACAAACGACCTTGCATGCATGTGTCTGAATGCGAAGTGAAAGTTGTGTTGCGTTGCATTGCTGGTTTGAACTTCTGAAAAATCGCCTTTCTACAACCAAAATTCATTATGAACAATATTCCTTAACACAGGAAAGCGTCCCATATCTTGCCCTCATCCTCGACGCCCACTAACGGCGTTATGTCCAGGGGGAAAACCTTCTCTGAAAGGAGGTCCTCCAGTAACTTGTTCAGAGGCTGCCCGCAATGCGGAGGGCTGCGGAACTGCCATGAAATCTGGCTGTGGCAGAAGCAGAGGTCCTTCGCCATGGGGTATGGGCTTTAAACCCGACTGAAGGTTTCCTGAATCCTTGGTTAAAAGGAAACCCGTCTTTTGTCCAGATATTCAGGCTTTTTTCTGAGTGTTCACTCTTCCATATTTGTAGTCCAGAAACCCTTCCTTAAGCCTTCTAAACCCATAGCTCCGGTAAATACCGGCTACTCGGGCTTGCCTGGCCGCCAACCGTTCTTTTAGGACCTGGTCCATCGGGAGAAGCAGGTGTCTACCCGTCCCGGGCAAGTTCAGAACAGCGGCAAGACATGTTTTGTGTTAAAACCTTGAGCCTTTAAGCTGGGAGCACAGAGACAAAAGGCCTTCTCTACCCGAAACTTGCATATAACAGCATTTGCTTGGCTTGCCGAGCTTTCAGCGAATCCGGAAGTACCTCGATCTAACGCTGTGAACAGACTGTTCTGGCAACTGCTTGAAGGTCCGACCGTTTTGGGTAGCTTACCGCTAGTACTGATACTCGAGGTCACTCTGATCATTTCTCTTCTTGTTAAATTATCACCAAACATAACTGCTACTTACTAGGCAAAATACGGTCATTTCTACGAAGCCCGCAAACTACGTAACAGGAATGACTAGGAATGACGGTATGATGTTAAGTCCCGACAAGAAACGAATTACTGAAAATGCAAGTGTCCTCTGGCAGAACAAACTGTAGCAAATGTCCCCACTTGCTCATCACACGCTCGGGGGAATAGCGAGACGGATCCCAATCGCAGCAAGTTTGTGCCCTGCGCAGGATTTTGACTTGCTGTGCCGTCAGCCGCTCCTGCTCCACTCTGCCATAGGATGACTTCCTGTACTTGGTCGGCCGTTCCATGTCTGCGACCTCGTCACGCGAGAACTTGTCTGTACCCGGATTTGGTCTCCATGTTGTTGAGACCTCCGGCAGTTCTGGCTTGCATGTTGGGCGCAGCCTCAGTGGGAAGCGATCTCTCAATCTACCTCCTGCCGAGCCTCTCCAGGATGCGGGCAACTCCGTCTTGCGCAGCGCTGGTATGACACCATCCACTGATGCTCTGCGTGTGGCTGGACTGTCCCTCCCTTGTGTAAATGGCTCCTTCTTGCAAATGCTCTGCGGTGCGGATGTGAAACCTTTCAGACGTGGCTTCCTCTGCGCTCTCCGAACCCATCCGTCATCTCGAGCTGCAGGTACTGCAGGTTTAGAAGCCGAGGGCTCTGCCTTAAGGCAGCTCTTGCGCGGCGCAGGTATGAAATGGTCCGGACATGGCTGCAACTTCCAGTCCGGGACATCAGGGACCAGAGCATCCAGACAGTCTCCATCTGATGCATCTTCGTGCGGCGGCTCTTCTTTCGATGCCTCATCAAGCACGAGGCACTCCTGCAAGTGAGTATTGGCCGCGCGTTGCGCTTCAAGGGCCATGGAATGAGCTTGCATCCTCAGCTCAAGCGTGTCGCTCGTATTTCGGGCTGCTGCCACCCTCAAGGCTTCTTGGGATAGCTTCACCCGCTCATCGGCTTCCTGAACCGCCTGCAGCGCGTGCACAGCCAGGGCGGTCTTGGGGGGCAGCTCCGCAACCGAGGGAATTGATAGCTCCAGCTTGACTGGCACCAGCCTGATGCGCGCTGCACTGCCGGCGGCCATGGCCAGATCTGCATGCCATGTTTCGCATAATCAGCATAGTTACGGTTACATGTTTCTTAACCTTGGTATGGACTGGCACTTTACGATTCGCAGTGCAAGCATTTCCTTACTTCCAGTCTCGAGGCCGTGATCAAGATTGCCTAGCACGTGTGGTTTATGCCATGGTGCTTGCGCTGCCAAGGACATGTTGGCTGTAATGTGGGCCTACGTCTCCGACACGTCGCTAACAGTCTGGGCCAAGAGCCCCAAGACAAGGAGCAAGCACTTTGGCTCGAGCTGCGGGGCCCAAGAACAAGGTCAAAACTCTTGAGGCACAACATGATCGAACAACTGGCAACTCTGCCGTCATGAGCCCACGCATGCTCCGCTGAGACCCTGCGCAATCTCAATCTTTCCCGCCCTCTCTGGCCTCTGACATTGGTGTACCACTTGGTCGCGACTGGCTGCTGTCTAGTAACAGAGAGCCATCTCAAGGTGAAGAAGGGCATTGATCATGTAAACGATGTAGACTGCTAGACCCAGAGAGCCCTCTCACATAGAAAGCCGGCAGCATCGTCGCACTCCTCCGTCTTCCCTCTCCTCTTACCTCACTTGCCAGTACGTAGTACTCGTCCCCATCGTCACCATCACCATCACCACCACCGTCATCGGCAGCAGCATCATCTTCACTGATATATCACCGTCAGCAACAACAACATCATCCCAGCCTCCGTCGAAGGCAAATCCTGAGACAGGGTTCGCTTGAACTCAGCTTCTACTGGCAAAAAAGAACACAAGAAACAACCGAATCCCTAAAACCTGGAGGAAAACCTACGGCTTTCCGTATGCTCGTGTCGAGACTGCAGTGCCCGTCCCATGCTTTCAATGGCCGCCCAAGCCTGGCATTGAACCATGAGCTTCATCCCCCCCCCCCCCCCCCCC